CGGCACTCGTTCGTGCTGGCTTACCGCCATGTTTGTGTTACGTGTCTACTGTCATGGCGGCCTACTCACTGTTGCTAACACGCGTGAGCTAAGTCACGTGATAGTGCAAAGCCTCTGTTATAAACTAGCTGTTTTTAAATGTATACATAGGCTTATAATGGAAGACGGCCTAGCGCCTTAAGTAATTGTATTGCGAAGAAGCGTAATCTTTCATACTCAATTAGTGCACGCGATTCATTAACGGTGCCACGTTTTAACACACGTTTTATGAAGAACTTTTTTGCATATAGAGGCTCTGTTCTTTGGAATACCCTGACTTCCAAATATACTGATCTTGTGGATGCAAGCCATCATGAACTTGCCAAAAAACTCAAAACTTCAGAACTTTTTAAGGCCGTTAAATTCAACGTAGTATCAGCATCGATCGCTAGTTTTGAACTTGAAGATTTTGTATACATCTAAATGGCATTCAATACGCTCTAATTTGTTTTAATTCTATTTAATGTTTAGCTGTATTTGATTTTAATTAATTAGTATTTTATTGTACACGACCCCACAAGCTTTGTAGCTTTCATATACGTATCGTGTAGAAAAAAAGATAACCAACCAACTATCTTGTACGGTCAGTTCGTCGCGCATGCATTCTTCTTAGGCCATCCTACAAGAATAGTATCTGACAACTCTGGCAGACACTGCTCCTTCCTAGTCTCCGCTCTTATTTCGTCTAAACGTTGGTCAGATATGGTCAGATAGCGGACCATGTTGACTGATTTGAAGTCATCGTCTTCTTTACCATTGTAGGGCAGGGTAAGCCCTTGACAGCATGTCGGCCAAATGCATGTTCTCGCCACGCTCAGAGTGCACGGTGAAATTGTATTTCTGTAACCTCTTCATCATTAGGGACCTTAAGAAACCACGACGGCGACGCCAAAGAAGACTTCGATTAAAAAATGAATTTCTACTCTTAGTTAAAATTTCAAAAATGGCTGCAGGAGTTTACTGTCTCGTACAGCGCCACAGCTCAACTTCAGCATGACGTATAAAGTAGCCGTTGAGTTGCCTCGTTGCCGTCGCCGTCGTGGTTTCTTAAGGTCCCTATTAACTGCAGGCATCAAGGCGCTCGAGCGAGTGGTTTTTGTAGAATCATCTCCAGAGGCTTGTGGTCACTTTCAATGTATACATGTCGACCAAATGTGTACTGGTTGAAACACTCAAGAGAAAAGACAATCGCCAGCATCTCTTTCTCTATTTGAGCATACCGGGTTTCTGTATCGGTAAGGGAGCGACTTGCCTACTCTTTTGGCTTGCCGTTCTGAAGTGTTGCTGCTCCAAGGCCACTCTGGCTCGCATCACACTGTATGGTGAGGTCTAGGGAAGGGTCGAAGTTAACGTAGAATAGGCGCTTCTGTTACTAGCCGCTGCACGTTTGCAAATGCCTGGTCTTGTTCCGAGGACCAGTTCCATGGAGTGTCCTTCCGAGTCAGGCGACGAATCAGTTCCATGACTTCGGACAGTTTTTGAATTAACTTGGCTAGATAATTGACAAATCTGTTGATGCGCTGAACGCCCTCCACATCTTGTGGCTTCGGCAATTTTGTGATCGCCTCTACTTTGGCAGGATCAGGCTTCAGGCCCTTGTTCGTCAGGATATGTTCCATGAAATTTACCGCGCTTATCCTCAGTTTCATCTTATCTGTGTTAAGGACAATGTCGCGGTCCTTGCACCTTTGAAGGAGATCTCGTAGACTCCTGTCGGGGTTTGCAGTGGCGTCTTCGTCGGTCTCTCTAGTGCCATAAATGAGGATGTCCGCGATGCACAGAACACCAGGTAGGTTTTCCAGTGTGTAAATGCTTCTGGAAAATCTCGGACCAGGTGGAGAGACCGAAGGGCAAACGAATCCATCTGTACCTTACGTAGGGTGTTGCAAAGGCTGCGAGTACGCTGGACTCAGGAGCAAGGACACAGTGCCAGTATCCCGACGTGAGGTCAATTGTCGAGAATACTTTTGCTTTTGAGAGCTCTGGGAGTATGTCCTCAAGTGCAGGAAGCTGATACCTTTCTCTGTTCAGGGCGGTGTTAAGTGGCCTGGGGTTGATACAGATTCTCAGCGCTCCAGATTTCTTCACAGCCACGGCAAGACTGCTAACCCATGGAGTGGGCTCATCGATTGGAGCTATGACCTCCATCTGCTGTAGTCGATCCAGTTCTTTCCTCAGTTTCTCTTTAAGTGACGTTGGGACACGGCGTGGAGGTGCGACGACGGGAGTGGTGAACTGTTCTGGTAGTGCTCCTAGCTCTCTTTGGAACACCTCTGGGTAGGCTGCTATTATTTTGTCAGCCATCTGCACACTCTTAACCTTTGCCCTTGGTTGTTCGGGTGGTTTTGCGATCGTGAAGTTTTGAGTGTTGAACGTAATTAGGCCGATCTGTTGAGCTGCCTTTGCTCCAATAAGGTGGGGTCAGATGTCTGTCAACGACAAGGAATTCCACCGAGAACTTCTTATTCTTTGGATTGTGAAGAATTAGGAAAAAAATCCATTCTTAGCTTTGCTTTCCCTTAAATGTATCTTATAATTAGGGGTAATCCACAAGATTAGCCTTTGCTATTTGGATGATCCTAACTCGCTACCTACTCGATTGCTAGATTTTTCTCTTTTTGCCTTTGCTGAATTTTGTTTAGTTGCTATGTAAATTTAACCTGTATACCTTGTAAAATCGAGCTGAGTCAAAATAGATCATCATAGAAATCATCATCAGTATACAGTATATGGTGGAAGATCACACAAAATCTACAATCTTGTATGTCACAAGCCTATATTTTTTCATCAGTTAGTCATTTAGGACAGATATATACCTGCATAAACAAAGACAGAGCTCTGTGAACGAGCATTAAAGGTTTAGATACAAAATACTCTATAATTTATGTATTTATACAACTTGCATAATCCTCTGAAGAATTATTACTAATACTCTGTTGTAAGATTGACTTTACAAAGCCAAATATGATGTATATTTTTTTCATTTTGTAATAAACGGGCAAACAGAGCAACCGTGAAACGTACTCTATTGAACCAAGGTCACTTCGATTACGCACACACATTCTTGTAACTGCTTGGGAATTTGAAGGGTTCCTTCCAGAAAATGAAGTGCAGCAAGCACTGAAATTACGGTGCAGGCATACTGCCACTAGGTCTTTCACCTATGAAGAACTGGCAAATGTATGAGGGCAGAAGCCACTCGGTAACATCAAGAAAAAAGGAAAGAATAACTCCTCTAGATTACCACAAGACTTTATTCTTGATGATCTTCGTACAAATTCAAGACTTTCCGCCCCAGCTTCCAACAGATTTCCAAGTGGACTTTCCTTCTTTCATTGAGTTCTTTTTTTTCGAGTCTACCACAACATGTGCGAAGTAAAAATCCTAGGTCAAATGTCAATCAAATCATCGTGTTCCGATTGGATAACTAGACAACAGTACAAATCACGTGCAACTGAGTAACAAAGTCTACGTAACGAAATCTAATTTCAACACACCGCCCCCCCCTTGATTGACCCAGTCAATCAACAATTCTTGAATATCAACGTTCAATGATTAACAACCTTCCTAGGACAGATAACTGTGAACCTCTACACAGTGATTAGCCACGATGTACGATTCCCACCGCTTCATCCGGTACAAATCTAATGACTGGCGGAGCTGTAACCACATCCTCCTTGTTACTACCATTGTGATGTTCATAAACTTCAACTTTGTACAGGACGTGGGATTTCAACTCTTCCCGCATTGGACGCTTACCGAACAAGGGCTGCGCGAACGAGGTTATCTCTCGCAGGAATCAACTCTTGAACTGTAGCAAGTTTCCACCTTTGTCGAGGCACATTGTCTTCATGAACGCAAAGAACGTCTCCTTTCTTAATCACTCTAGATTGTGATGTCTTTTTGCCAAGATGATGCTCACGAAGCTCAGAAAGATCCTCCCTTCGCCAACAGTTCCAGAAGTGTTTAAGAACCAAATCAAGATGCTTCTGCCTTTTAGACAACTCTGCGGTTGTGGTACCTGCAGTAAAATCTTGGGTCTTTGGAATGGGACTGAGCAACCTTCGCCCAATGCATCACGAGGAAGGTGTGACTGGTTCTTCGAGTTCTTCATAGACGTAATTCGATTTTCTTATTTCTTTTATTTCATTAGCTTCGCTAACAAAATAAAAAAAAACCGAGGAAATACAAGCCTAGTAATAAGAACGTAACAATACACTAATAATAACTTTAAAATTTGGGCAGGGACACCGCAACAGCTGAGACCAATTACTGCGGACCCAGAAATAAAAGTATTTAAAAGTATATAAATAATATATAAAGTATATATAATAGATATATATATATATATATATAAAAAAAGTGGCAATTGAAATCACATGCAGCAGCTAATTTCTTGGTCTTAAACCCTGGCTGTGTTGCATTTCAAACAAATGCTCTGAAGCTCCTTGGAGAATCCGGGTCATTGTTTATTTCTGGAGCTCGCGAGTAATAACCGTAAAGAACAGATTTAAAGTAAGTCAAGGGTCGAGAGTTAAGTATTCCTTCGTCTTCCACCAGCACCGTTTGAAACTCTTCATAAGTCACTCGTGCATTTCCAAGGGTCTTCTTGAGGCAGCGCTTAACTGAGCGCACCATCCTTTCGAAAAACCCACCCCACCAAGGGGCGCCAGGGACTCAATACCATGCTGACTGAGGAAAGGTTTTAAACTGGCACCTTTGAAGGTCTTTCCATTATCTGATATGACAAGACGTGGCACTCCTCTCCTAGAAACAAACCGTTTTAAACAGCTTAGGAATTTTCCTGTTGACAGATCTGGACCAGCTCGAGATGCACACCTCGAGAGGAGGCACAAGTAAAGATTGCAATGTATGGCATGTAGACTTTCTTACTCTTGGAATAGACGTCCTTCAAATAGACTGGTCCAGCAAAATCGAGACCAACTTGAATGAAGGCCATT